GTGAATGCCAGAGTGGGGTGGGTTGAATTACTATTGTAAGGCCTTTGAATGGCTATTCCGGTGTTTTTAAACAAAGGACTGGCAAAGAATTGCATGTATTTTAAGAGGTCATTCTGGTAGCAATTAGAGTAGGGAAGACACTGAAGGCAAGACTCAAGGCAGGAGAAGAGTAAGATTTAAGATGGGGGGGGGGAGCACTGATGAATCAGGGATAAGGTGCATCGGGTTTAAAAGTGGGAAGTGTGATTATCACCACTCCATTCCTAGGTCTTGGACATATGCAGCATTGTATGCATTTACTCTGAATTGTGGTACTATATTCTTTCTAAACAGTTTCATACATTTGAAACATAATCCCATATTGTGCAGCTCATCCATTTAAAGCCCCCGCCCTGCCCCACAGGTGAATAGAGTCATTGCTAGAGTCAATCCATCTTCTTTGCTTTGTCACTCTTCAACTTTGTCCTCTCCATTCCCCCATCTTCTGACCTCTATCTGTTGTCATTGCCATTGATTGCTGTTTTGTACATTTTTATTACTTTTTCATACAACACATTTTGACCATAGCCTTTCCCATCCTTCTACTTCCCCCAGATCCTCCCCATCTCCTTACCCAACCAACTACATGTTCTTTTTCTCTCTCATTACTATTCATCATTTGAAGCTGTCTAAAGAATGAGTTGCACAGATGTAATACAGTGTCTTGGTACAGTTTCAGCTTTTTGTTTCTTTTTTAAAAATCATGTAAGAAGCATTGTGTCTTTGTGTGTGAAAGCAGACATGGTTATGGGACATTGTAAACCTACTGACCAGGATCTTCATACACACCTATAGTTGAACAGGACCTTTACTGGTTATTTGCTTCCTTTTGATAGCCAGCATATTCTACTTTTTTTCTGTAATGAAATAGATTTGATTTTTCCCCCAAAAAGTCACAATCATTATAGCTAAGGAAGTGTGTCAACATGGTTGAAAGAAGTATATTTACCAACTTTACTACTTCAGGACAATACCCAACTGGAATATGAAAAAGAGGCTGTCTTTAAAAATATGTTGCAAGGCTGTTGGGTTAGCTCACTGTATTAAGGTACCTACTGCTCAGCCTGACAAACTGAGCTGGATCCTCAGGAACCCACACAGTAGAATGAGAGAACTGACTCACACAAATTGTCTTCTAATTAATTCAATGTAGCACACACAATAAATCATTATAACGAAACTAAGACTGAAGAAAAAATTTTAAAATAGACTACATGATTTCATAATGACTGGTTACAAACCATTCTTAAATCTTCTTCCAGAGCCAATTTTGCTATTGTTTAGTACATCATTAGTACTGTGTGTGGTTAAAGTAGAAGTTTTCTGCGAGTTAGACTTTCCATACCATCTAACTCCACCTTTGACACTCCCCTTTGTAAATAGCATCTCTAAATCCCATTTCATTGCCTCCACACCCTGTTTCCTTTCAGATATATCACCTTCAGATGGAAACCCGTTTAATGACGTCCAGTTGCATCTGGACTTAGGAAGGGCCCCACTTCTTTCAAGGTTATTGAGTTTGTACTTGACCATCACAAGTGTGACTGAAAAGTGTCTTCTGTATGTGTTTCAGTCCACAAGAATTATGCAGTGAGATTTCAGCTGATAAAGCAGGTTGACCCAACAGAATGAATGCATTGTGATGGAGATGAACCCAGTTGCAAGACACTGGGTCTGCCACCTTTTGTATAATGGCTGTTCTTACACACGATATTTATTCTTGTGAAGCCATAAGCACGCTCTTTTGGTGCAAGATTCAGCAGTGTGTGGATTATTGAACACAATTTCCCATATACTAGCATATTGGCTCACCCCCCCCCACACACACACACTCTGGGGGACCTCTGGTGAGAAATTTTAGTCAAGGAGACAATCAATCAATAACCTTGGTCCCCACAGTCTAATCTCTGCTTCGTTCCCTGAGACAGACTTAGAAGCCACCTCCCTGCAATTATCTTCTATTAGGCATTTGGTAAGGGGAGTCCTTCACATGAATCACATTCCAGACCTTCAAGATAGGGGTGCTACACTCCAGCTTGTTTGATTCTTAGTCTTTCCTGATAAGGAGATTGGGTGTCCCAAATTCACCCACAGCTTACTTGGGGAAAGTGCTAACTCAATTAATCCTGGCTCTACCCTAAAAAGGCTATTAATTCCCTGCACCTACCCTTATTTTGGTTTATCAATGTAGGATTTTAATCTGGGAATGTAATACCATGCACTAACTAACTCCCCTTCTCCCTTCTCTGAATTTAAAGCCTCCTAAATCAGCCTTCTTGCCTCTTAGCACTGCCCAGGATCCTTCTAGTCACATCTCCCCCGGGGCTACAAAGATGCTGTGCTGACAGTGCCACCTGGGACAGCTCTTACCTGCTTTTGACCCTGAGAAATTCAAGCTCAGAGAATTGATGTGTGTGTGTGTGTGTGTGTGTGTGTGTGTGTGTGTGTGTGTGTGTGTAAGCTGAAGCTGAAAACCTTTGCAGCACAAAAAGAAGAAGAAGGAGAAGGAGGAGGGGGAGAGGAGGAGGAGAGGAAGAAGAAGAAGAAAGAACATGATTTGAACAGCAGGTGTGTGAACTTGTTCCATACTTCTTAGACTAGAAATGCTCTAAGTCCTTCACTATGCCAAGGCAACCTTGCCAGGGAGTCAGTAGCGCTGGACTCTGCTGGTTTTTCAAATGTGTGCGTTTATACAGAACAGCCAGAACCCTGGATGAGTCCCAACACCACCACCCAATCCCACACTGGACACATAGAAAGTCTTTAGTGGCAGTTGCCTTTCAAGCCTCTAAGCTACTCCCCATCCTCCCACCCCAACCCCCAGTCCACCCCACATCCAGAGTTATCACTCTAGCATACCAAGAGCATCCACATTTGCCTCCCATTTCCCACCCAGGGCTTGTGTAAAAGACATTAGGTGGTTCACTGAGAGGCATCTATTTAGTAGGAAGTGGAAACAAATTTAACACATTGCTTATTTTTTCTATATAATGGGTGGATAAACCCATGGATGTCTTCCAGTTGGCATATCTTATCAGATGCAGTAGAAATGAACATTTCTGACTTACCAGGTTTGGCCAATATCTAAATATGTTGTTCTATTGAGTGTGACTAGATGTACAGACACACTTTTATTTTGTCTCACACATGAAAAGTGGAAGCATAAGGCATGCGATCCAACTCGTTTCTCAGCCAAGTACTTTAATAGTAAACTACTGACTTTAGTTAAGGACAATAGGAAAGATAATCCACCACTGTTTCAGTAGCCTACACACACAGTGCATCTTGAAGTGTACTTAAAATGGTCAGCTTTACAATATTTGTTGTCAGCTTTCAACATGCTGACCTGTGCTAAAAGAAAATAATAATGCTAAAAGAAGTAACTCTGTGAGTTATTTCTGAGATTTATGAAGAGAGGAAAAGGAAATGGGAAAGGATGTTACAAAGTAATGCCTACATCATTATTTGACTCTAAAGACAAACAGTACTGAAATACTTTTTGTTGATTACTTTATGATACTTATTCCACACCTTTTGTTAATTAATAGGGAAATATTCGGTGACAGCAACTATATTAAAACTACAAAGCCTTCCCATGAATGAAAAGCAAAATGTATCATTTCAAAAAGCAGTACAGGAGGCATTATCCTAGTCACATTATTGCTTGCTGCAAATTCTGGACTTGAAAAAAAGTCTTGTGCCATGAAGAACTGCAACTCATATTCAGTTCTGTCGACTCCGAGTTATATAAAATGACATCCTCCAAATCCCCTTTGAGTTTGTTTCAGAGATATTCTTGCTTCTTGTATTTGGATCTGAGTATTCTTGGATTAGAAAATTCACTTCGCCATGAATAAAATAACGAAGTCTCAACTGAAAAGCCAAGGACCTCAATGTCGAGAAATTCTCTATTTTTAGTAAGTGGTACAGCGACTACTTTCCTCCCTTCCATCCTCTCCCTCCATCAGCAGGTGTCTCTGCCATTCCAGCAGACTGATAAAAGGAAAAGGAGGGGGCGCGGAGAGAAAGGAAATTGTCTACGTCTTTCAGCGGTGGAGGTGGGGGATATTTTAACAGCATGACTTCAAACAATTCAATTTTTAACGTTCTTACCCATCATTTATTACGAGGTTTATTAAGGATTACTCGGCAGTTTGGGTATGTCCATCTGTAACTTATAAACGGAAGGGGACAGGGAATAAGAGGGAACGGAGGATGGGGAAGGAGCGAAATGTAGGCGCGTGGGCACGGAAAGCGAGAGGCGGATTTGGCAGTCGCTAAGGACCGCGGCTCAGAAATGGAAAAGTGTGGCCTGGCCGCCCTGCCTGCCCCGTCGTGTGTGTGTGTGTGTGTGTGTGGGAGGGGAGCACGGTGCCGCACTGTCCTCTCCCGACCCTAGGCTCTTCTGTAGGATGAGGCTTTACTGCCGGGCACACAGGGAAGGGATGCTCGGACAAGCAGCCTCGGGGCAGCGGAGGTCAAGAGCAGCCGTGACCCGCAGCCGGCGGCCAGGTCACAGGTCCCCGGCTCGCCCGGCGCTCCAGATGCAAGGATGCCGGGGATGGTGTCCGAGCCCGAGCCTCTGCGGGCCTGTGGCCCTCCGGGGTCCAGACCCTCCCGGGAAGCCCCACCGCGCGGCCCCGGGCTCCTCGCCTCAAGCGCCAGCTCGCAAACAACATGGCGGCACCAGGCCGTCCTCCCCGGGGCCCACGCCGCCTCCCGCTGCGGGTCCTCGCTCGAGACGCGAGGCCGCGGCCGGAGCCCTAGACGACCCGCGGCGAGGAGCGGCGCGCGGCCGAGTGTGCGGGCGGGGCGCGCGCGCGCGGGGGCGGCGGAGCCGGGCGGGCGGCCGGCCGGCCTCGGGCGCGCGCGCCGACATCCGGCCGCGCGGGGGCGCGCGTGCGCGGGGCCGCGGGCGGGCGGGCGGAGGCGGAGCGGCGGCGGCGGTTGGAAGCTGCGGCCCAGAGCCCTCTCGCGGCCGCGGCAGCAGCAGCGCCCGCCCCGGCTGCAGTCCGGCCGCCGCCGCCGCCGCCGCCGCCTCGCCCCCCAGCCGCCCGGGCAGACATGAGTGAGGCGGCTCGGGATCCTTCGCCCGGAGCGTCGCCGGCCGTGGCCGCGGCCGCCTCGGAAGAGAAGAAGGGCAAAGAGCCGGAGCGGGAGAAGCTGCCGCCCGTCGTGCCGGCCGGCGCAGCCGCGGTAGGTGCGGCGGGGGCCGGGGGACACCGCGAGCGCCGGCCGGGGAAGGCGCGCCTCGAGGGCAAGCGCCAACACTTGGCAGCCCTGCCTTGCACACTCGGGGAGTGTGGTCCGCTGCCCGACGCTGGGCGTTCGCTTGTTTTCTGGGGTCTGGCTCCCCACTTAGATGTCTGGAGGGCGGCCGTGACTGTGTCCCCCGGGATGGAGAGCCTACCCTGGGGGCGCCGAGGCAGCGCTTCTCGCTTCTTGCCTATTTTCTGTCCTTTCTCCTCCCTTTAGATGGAGCAGACTCCGAGGCGAGTTTCCACCTAATTCTGACCTTTCGGTTATACTGTCTGGGTAGTGGGAGGCAGATGCATTCCTGATGCTTTTATTTTTATTTATTTGTGGTTTTTTTCATGTGGTACAGACATGTGACTTAAAGGAGAGGGGCTTTTTCTTCTTTGAAAACTCAGTTACCGATGCTTAACAGGGGTAATTTGCCAGCTGGATTTTCAAGGGTTATTTGGAAGGCGCTCTCAGCCTTCAAACTGCATACTGCCAAATGATGTCATGGGGCATCATCCCTTCTCTCCCTTCCCCGTTTTTATTGGTGGTTGTGAGTCTGGTTGCTAATCATTTAACCTCTCTGACTTTGACATTTTTATTTGACATACTAATTTAAATACTTTGGGTAAGTTTGCTTTCATGTATTTAAAGATTATGACTTGTCACACATCTGTACATGACAAAATAGTAAAAGTTTAGGGAATATTATACATTTTTAAATTTCTACTTGCAATTAGTTTCTTCAAGCCGCCCTCTTAAATGACTAAGAATTTACCTAAAATAGCTCACTCCTCTTTATAAAGTGTTAGTATTGGAATAATGTTACGATTTGGTAGGTTTCTCAAAAACGTTTAAAGCCTGTAATAACTGAGAATTGTTAAAGACAACTCTTTTATCCTGTCAGTGCTTACGATTTGGTAGGTTTCTCAAAAACGTTTAAAGCCTGTAATAACTGAGAATTGTTAAAGACAACTCTTTTATCCTGTCAGTGCAGCAAATCGTGGACAGCAGTGACACATTTGAAAGCGTGGCTACAGCTGATTGGTAAATTGCAGCTGTGGTTAGGGATTACCTTGGTAAATGCTGTGAAGCAATTTGTCATTCCATTTTTAGTCCTGGTTCCTACTGGTGGTACCCTGGGTTTTCAGAGTTTATTCAGTAGGATTTCTTAACACCGATGTGTTTTGTTTTGTCATTCAAATGTGTACATGTGTCTAGGGTGTGTGTGTGTGTGTGTGTGTGTGTGTGTGTACGCGCGCGAGTGTGTCTGGCGTGCGGGGGGGGGGGGTCTGGGGGGGGAGCCGGGGAGTATAATGGTCAGGGGAAAACCTCTGGTGTCAGCCCTCATCTTTGAACTTATTTGAGACGAGGGCACTTGTTTCTGAATCTTCATAAACCAGGTTTCCAGGATTCTCTTATCACTGACTAGTATTGATCTATACGAGTATTGGGATTACAGACACACCACTGAACTCATCTTTGCCTGGGTTCTGAGGATGTGAACTCAGATCCCCATGTCTAGGAGGTGAACTTGTACCCCACACCTGGGGGCAAGTGATTTTTCCTGCTGAGCCATCACCTCATCGTCAGTTTTTGTTCCTAAGGTGGTTATTAAGGGAGAAAGATGTATCTGTTTTTAGAAGCAATTATATGAATGATTTTAGTTTCTAAAGGCAAGTACCTTTCCTCAAATCTATATTTATAGCAATGTAACTGGAAGAAAGGTTTGTAATGAAAAAAAAATCACAGAAGTTGAAACAGTGTGAATGTAAGTCTAATGTGTAATATCTGAAGCCCATACATCTTTGTAATTTCAAGTTTTTCAGATTTTGAGAAAGTCATTAAGTACATATACTACATGTAATACCTATAGTGACTTCCCAGCCAATTTCCCAAAATCAGTGGTATTTAAAAAATTGTAGAAAATGTATTGTCTGATTGTGCTAAATAGAATAAGGCCTCATATCATTTCAAGTCAGATTCATGTTTTTGCCACCAAATGAATTGCAAAGACATTTATTTCAGGATTGTGGACTAGTAAAAAAAAAAAAAAGACTGTAGTTTAAGAATATTTTAAATCTTTAAGTAAATATTAAGGGAGAAAACAGTTTGGAATCAAAAACTTGAGACTCTGAAGACATTTTCTGTGGTGACTTAAAGGGTCTTTCAACCCTGGTACTGCTATTGGATATTTAAATGGCACTTTAAGGCACATTAAGAGGTAGGTAGGTGTGTGTGTGTGTGTGTGTGTGTGTGTGTGTGTGTGTGTGTGTGTGTGTGTCTGTCTGTCTGTCTGTCTGTCAAGGACATATTCAGAGCTGAAATTTTTTGGGGCATCACAATAAGAGGCCTAAGGAAAAATCAGGCTGATCTTGAAGATCCGGGAAGCTGGCAACAGGGTGACTGACTTCTCCAGTGAGTGGGGAAAGGCTTGGTGGAATATGGTGGGCTGGGAAAGATGGTTGCCTCTTAGGTTGTTTTTGGACTCCTTATTCGTTAAGCAGAACCCAGGTTTGTTTAGTAACCTCACTGACATCAGTAGCTTTGGGGAGGTGTCATTTTAGTAATTCTTTTTGCTCTGTCTTTCCAGGTTGAGCTTGTTTCAATTCAAGTAGCCCTGTAGTCATGACTTTTTCAGAAAATTAATGTGTCATGGTTATGACTGTGGAAACAAGTAAGAGTGACAGCTCTCTAAAACAAAGAAGAGACCAAATTATGTTGATCCTAAATAAGGTTAAAATTTTAAGTTTATTCTGAAGATTTAAGGGGGGGGGGATGAGTTTCTCCTTGTAGGATAGGAGAGAGAATGCTAGAACCTGAGAAATTACCTCAATGCCAAGTGCAGCTGCACTCAGAAGACCCTGACACATAGAGTTACTTTGGTTGCACGGTGAGGGCCAACCTACAACCCACCCTAGTTTTCAGCCTTTGATGAAATCACAATAAAATCCCCTGGGAAACATTTCAAGCTCCTTAAATCAGAAATTCAGAGAATGAAGTGGAGGCATTATATTTTTCTTTTAACTCCTTGGTATAGCTAAGAGTGAAAACTGATGCTGTACACACTGAATTAGAAGATCTGTGTTTTTAAACTCCACCCTCATGCCAAGACTACTTAGAAATGGCTGTTATAGTGGCTGCATGAGAGATGCTGGGGTGGTGCTGCTCAAAGGAATGGCTATTACAGTGACCCTGTGAGAGATGCTCAAGAAACCCAGATAGAGCCCTCAGAGCACTGTCAGCATTGGAGACTCCGCCTTGTGCTGTGGATGGGATGCAAGCCCAGAGCTGAGAGTAATAAAGAATTTGAAGTAGTGTTTGCCTGTGAAGGGCTGCTGATGGAGATACTGAATTCACCAAGGTTCACAAGTTGACATGGATGAATGTCATAAATTCATTACTGATTTAATACAATGTTAGAAAAACATAAAAGGAGAAAATACTCTAAAGGAGAGGCAGAATTAACTGAGGCAAGAGGGGATGAGTTTGATTTGATATTTAATGAGCTGAACAGGAGAGAGATTCTCCATGGAATAGGATATACCAAGGAATAAAATTGGTTCAAGAAAGGTAAATTTCATATAAACTGGGGAGGTAAAGAGAAATCGATTTAAACTCTCCGTGTGTGTGTGTGTGTGTGTGTGTGTGTGTGTGTGTGTGTGTGTGTGTTGCTGAGGATCACTTGGGGCTTTGTGCACATACATTCTACCACTGAGTTACATCTCCTTCTTTAGTTTAGAATTTCAAAGGGAATTTTGCCCACAAATAAAAGACTAAGAATTGTGTCAAGTAGATGAGAGAAGAGTTTGATGGAAGACACAAAATGTATATATGGAGGATGAGAATGACAAGTTTGTGTTCTGTATAAATGGGGTCACTGGAACCTTTGAACCAAGATGGAACTGCCTATCACTGAAAGACAAAGCTTACTGATGAGGTCCTGACTCAGGTGATTTGGGGCTAATGGATAAAGAACAAATCAATATGTAAGCATCACAATAAGCTACAGAAACAGAAACAGTTTGTAATGTAGGATATCATTATGAGCACAACTGAAGAAAGGCCTTGAAATAAAAGTAATTTTTTAAAAAAAGCTGGCTGGCCATTCAAGGAATGATAGGATCTGGATGAGCAAAAACAAGTATGCAAAGTAAACAGTGGGTAAAAAAACATGAGCAAGCCTAAAGGGAAGAATTAGGGAGTAATAAAACAGGCCCAGGGGAAGTGTGCTGGGGACTTGTGGGAGGTAAGTAAAAATGCATGGGGGCTGGAGAAGTCGGCCGTTTCCCCTGTGGTTAATGGGAAGCCTTTGGAACTCTTTGAATAGAAGAACAGCATAATGAAATTCCTGGTAGTGTATAGTTAGACTGGGGGAGGGAGGAGGAAGAAAGTGAAGGAAGGACGGCTGTGGTTCATGCTTGAGATGGTGAGCACAGAATAAAGTGTCCAGGGTGGAAGAGTCCACACAGTGTGAAGAAAATCAAACAAAAAGTTTCCCAGAAGGAAAAAAAAAGGCAAAAAGCAGTTCAGTAAGATTTCAAAACTCTGTGTGTGTGTGTGTGTGTGTGTGTGTGTGTGTGTGTGTGTGTGTGGTTGTATATAATGCTTAGCATTTGGAACAGTCTTATATATGGAATTGCCTTAGCCTTTTGTCTGTTATATTCTAAATAATGGTGAGTATATCTTACATAATTTAATAAAGTACAGATTTTAAAAATATGTGACCTGGTGTGGTGGTATGCGCTCTCAGTCTAGCACTGTGGGGAGAGGGAAGTAGACCAGTCTCTTGAATTCCAGGAGAGTTGGGACTACATAAGTAAGTCTCTCTCTGTCTCTCTCTCCTCTGTCTCCTCCCTGTCTCTTTCTCTCAGAAATGTATATAATAACAACTCTTAAGTGCATACTCTCTCTGTGCTATGCATCTTTCATGTGTCATTTAGTCAGTTAACACAACCAAC